GCTTAGCACAGTGCCTGGCAAATAGTAGTGCTTAATAAATTGCTTGTTGACTGACTGACTAAAAGCCCCAGGAGTCCTTCATGTGAGCTAGGTGAAGATTTCTTTCTTGAGTGAGTAAACAAGCCAGACCTTACCTCACCCGTCCTGAATGCTCCTGCGCTCCCTCTTCCAGGAACCCCTGGGAACCCATCCACTGGGGATGGGGCGGGGAGCTTCAGGCTGCCCAGAGATGTTATTAGTTCTCCTGCAATTAAAATGTCAGGAAGGGCTCCCAGGGCCCCAGGACAAGAGGCCACCAGGGCCCACAGGGTATCGAGACTGGTCCTGAGCCCCAGGCCTGAGGCAATGTTTAGTTTCTTTGTCCAGGAGGAGCTGAGGGCTCCTTGGGGATCCAGGCAAGGCCTTGGGGACGTTGGGAACAACAACTCAGCTACTCTCTGCTTGGTAGACCTGAGGCTCACCTTAAGACCTATATAAAGTGGTTGTTTTTCAGTAAGGATGGGAGGTGGTGGGGCAGAGAGACCCTTTCTTGGGCCAGCCCTGGAGGAGGGGGTTATTGCGATGACTCCAGAAAAAAAAAAAAAAAAAGAAAAAGGAGTTTGGTTCAACACCCCAAAACCCATTTTGACTCACTATTCACCAAACCGCATTAAGCACTCACCGTGGGCACAGTTAGCCATTCACACTGGTAGGACAGCTGACACACCTTAAGCTTTACAAAGGGCTATTCTCACAGCTCTCCTGTGTGTCAGATAAGGCAAACATTTTTACTCCACCCCCCATTTTACAGATGAGGAAACTGAGGCTCTGAGAGATTATGCTGCATGATCACCCTGCTAGTGTCTGCCCTGGAATTTGAACTGGAGGCCTGAGAATGCAGACACTCCACCACACTTGGCCATGCAATCTGCTGCATCCGAGGGTGATGTATAAAAATGAGACAGTCCCTGTGTTTGAGTGGCTTATGGCTTCCATAGGCTGTTCTAAGCACCACCTGGGAAATGCTGGGGGGGGGGAGGAGACGAAAGGCTGCTAGCCACTCACCCTTAGGGAGATAAACAAGAGGCTTGTCCTCACCTTAGCTCTCTTTTTTTCCTGCTTTTGCCTGATTTCTAGCTTGTCACATGGTCTGCAGTGACCCCAGATAGTCCTGAAGTGGTCAGCTCTGGTACAAATCCTTCAGGATCCTGGCAGGGTTTCAAACAGTAAGATTACCCTCGGTCACCAGTCCTGAGGGGCATGGAAAGGAGTCCTTCCTAAGCCCCAGGATTTCAGGGAAGCCTCAAGTAGACAGAGTTGGCTCTGATCCTTGAGGGTCAACGTTGCAGGTTCTGAGAAGGGCCTGAACTAGTGGGAGGGTGCTAGGAGTTGGGTAGAGAAAGTGTGCCTGTTCCTCACAATTCATAGATTCACTGATTTTTCCATCTAGAAGAGTGCTGGATTTGGAGTGTTAGAGGTCTTGGATTCAAATCCCATCACTCCTACTTATTCCCTGTGAGACCTTGGACTAAGCCCTTAAACCTTCCTGGGCCTCAGTTTCCTCATTTGTAACATGAGGGGGTTGAGCTAGATGACTTCCAAGGTCCATTCCAGCTCTAGATGGATTATCTATGAGTGATCTCTATGGTGCTATTTATATCTCTAACCCTGGTTCAACCTTCTCATTTCACAGATGAGCAAACTGAGGCCCAGAAAAGGAAATGGGATTTGTCCAAAGTCACCCAGCTAGAAAGGAGCAGATTTGGAGCTTAAACCCAAGGCCTTTGACTCCACATTTGCTGTCTAATCTCATTTTTGTGTTTGTATTCTTGGCCCCTAGAACAGTGCTTGGTACATATTGGTGTTGTTCAGTTGTTTTTCAGTTGTGTCCGACTCTTCGTGACCCCATCTGGGGTTTTCTTGGCAAAGCTACTGGAGGGATTTGCTATTTCCTTCTCCCGTTCATTTTACAGATGAGGAAACTGAGGCAAACAGGGTCAAGTGACTTGCCCAGGGTCACACAGCTACTAAGTGTCTGAGAGGCTGGATTTGAATTCAGGAAGATGAGTCTTTCTGACTCTAGGCCCGGCACTCTATCCATTGTGCCACCTAAACACATATTAGGTGCTTAATAAATGCTTGTGAACTGAATCTTTCCTCTCTACTATGCTGGCTGTCCTTTCAATTCATAAGGGATGCTGTTGTGACCTGTTTCTCTCAGATAAAATCATAAAATATAAATGTGTGGTTTTATATATGCTAATGTTTGTGCTGAGAGGAGAATGGACTAAATGTGTGGGCTGGGAGGGGGTGCTAATTGCACAAACTGAAAGGGGAGGTTAAAAGGGATCAAGATGATGAAAGAAAAGAAATTGAGAAGAGGGAGGAGTCACAAAGCATTAGGATTTGGTGTAAGCTGAGCGACTGCAGGAGCAGCTCCTAGAGGGTGTTTTATTCACCCAAGGGCAAGTAAATCAGCTAGAAAGGTAAGGGAAAATTTCTCCTTGTAGAGAGAAGGGACCTAGATCTCTTGGACGCTGTCCTGTGGTATACGTGGGACATGGAGAGTAATTATAATTTCATAATTATTCTGAAGGTGATGGCCAAGGATGGAGCACATTGTTGGGTTCCTACTGAGCTGTTAAGGCCAGTGGTATGTTGTATGTCAGCCAGAGAATCAAAGATTTAGAAATTACATGAACCTTAGAGGTTGGGTCTAACTCCTTCAAATTACAGATGAGGGAACTGAGGCCCAGATAGTCTAAGTGACCTACCTACGGTTTACATGTTTAGTTAAGTAGCAGAGCCTGGCATTGATGTGAGAACCAGTCTAGATAGGCAATCTTGGCTCTGGGCATTTTCACTGGCTGTCCCCCTTGGCTGGAACTCTCCTACCTCATCTCTGCCTCCTGGCTTCAGTGACTTCCATCAAGTCTACCTCCTATAAACCAGCCTCTGCCAGTCCCCCTTAACTGTGGCACCTTCCCTCTGAGATTATCTCCAGTTCATCCTGTATGTATCTTGTATGTAGTTGTTGACGTGCTGTCATTGCCCCACTAGATTTTAAGCTCCTTGAGGGCAGGGACAGTTTTTGTCTTTCTTAGTTGGGCTGGCACACAGTAGGTGCTTAATAAATGCTTCCTGACTGATTGTTGAATGTAGAGAGGCTTCATCACCATAGCTACAGTGACTCACCAAGGTTAGCCATCTAATGAGGGGGAGGCTGTGTTCTGTATGGGTGGGTGGGTGGGGGAAGGAACATCCGCACCAATAGAATTATGAAACCTTGAAGTTCAGAACAATAATACTTGCTTACCTTCCTGTACAGGGAAGCTAGTGCCAATATTATTTCCATTTTACAGATGAACATACTGAGTCTCACGAAGGTTAAATAACTTGCCCAGGCAGCAGTGGCAGAATTTAGGTCTCGAGACTCCAAATTCACCGCTCCTTCCACCTAACCAGGTAGCCTTCCTCCCTACTGTGCCGAGCAAGTGTGACTCCAAGATCAGGGTCCTTTCCACTCCCGGGAATTCTTAGAAGTGAGGGGGAGGGGAACCCCCCAAAAAACAAAGGTGATGGAGGTATCAGGCAGCTGCTAGAATGTGGTTTCAATCTGGAACCTAGCGAGGTTGCTATCTGGGTCCATCTCCACTGAATGGTGGCTTTGGGGGGGGTTTAGGAGGGGGGTGCTTGGCAGGGCACTGGGACGAGTAGGTCATCAGCTCAAGCCTTGTGTCAGACTGGATTGGGTGACGATGTACATTTATTTATTTACCTGAGGGCACATAGAGAGCATCACGCGTACTGTCTGTCTGGCAGGCAGCAAACATCCACTAAAGCACCCACCATGTGCTGGGTACTCAGCTAAGCGCTACGAATATATAGAGAGGTAAAACAGTCCCTGCCCTCAGAGAGCGCACAGTCTAATGGCCGCGACAACATGCCAACAATTTACACTGGAAATGATCGACAAGAATGAAAGTATTTCCTTTCCCTGTGTGTCGTCGGGGGTCTTTGGCTAAGCCAGGTTTATGCAAAGGGTGAAAAGCAGCCCGGGACGGAGGGGAGAAGCCACAGTTTCCAGGCCCCCAGATCTCACAGGGTCACAAAACCAGCGAGAGCAGAGATTCAAACTTAGGGGCCGAGGCCACTCTTGTTCCCCGGCTCATAGGACCCAGGAGGCTCTACCAGCCTCTGTCCGCGCTCAAGAGCCCGGTGCGCCCTCAGTTCTGCCCATATCCTGCTTCGTCCAATCAGGAGCAGGCTGCCCACCCAATAAGGCGTGTCCTCTTCTCCCATTGGTAGTTTGCGGACTCTGCCTCCAATAAGGGGCAGTTTACTTCCCTTCTCTCAGCTCTCTCGGAGTTAGGAGAGGACTGTTCTCCTCTCCCCTTCAGAGCGTTTCAGACTTGAGGATTAGGTAGGCGGAGACACTGAATACGACGGTTCTCCACGGGACCTCCGCAGGCTCAGAACTACAACTCCCGGCAGGTCGCGCTGTCTCTACGCCTTTGGGATCACATGGTTTCCTCCTCTCGTTTCCCCCCCTTCCCTTTCCTCCTTCCCCCACTGTCCCTTGCCCCTCCGGCGCCTCGAGTCACGCGGGTTCAGTCAAGAGCAGGGAAAGAGGGCGGAGCCTGAGGGGCTAGAAAGCCGCACCAGCGGCCAATGGGATGGGCGGAGCAGGGGCGCCCTCCCCCGCCCCCAGCCGTGCGCGTGCTGACGCGGGGCTGGAGGGGCGGGGGCGCGCCCGGCGGCGGCGGCGGTGTAGGCGGCGGTTGGGGGGGCGGGTGGCGGTTGGAGGCGGAGGCGGCCCAGCTGAGGGGCGGCCGGGCTCACTTGCTCCCTCACTCCCTTGCGCTGACAGGCAGCAGGCCGGAGGCCGGGACGAGGCCGGGAAGTTTGCGGCGGAGCCAGGCATGAAGCGGCGCTGAGGCGCAGCCGAGCCGAGCCAAGCCGAGCCTCCGCCGCCTGAGAAGGAGGCGCCACCGCCGCCGCCGCTGCTGCCGCCGCCGCAAGTCCCCGGCCACGCCGATGACTACTGCAAACTGCGGCGCCCACGACGAGTTCGACTTCAAGCTCATCTTCGGGGAGGACGGGCAGCCGCCGCCGCCCCCTCCCCCGGGGCCCGCAGGTGAGGGCGCCCCGGCCCCCCGGGAGGCCGGCCTCCCCGCCCTACCCGCTCCCGCACTCCCCCGGGGCCTGGCCGCGGGGCCCGGCCCGTGAGTCTGCGCCCCCCGCGGAGGGGCCGAGGAAGGGACGGGCACGGGGCAGCGCCTGAGAGACAGAGACTGAGACGGGGGGGGAAGCGGGGGGAAGATCGGCGGGGGGCATGGCCGGACCAGAGATAGCGGGGGGGGGGGAAGAGGAGCGTGGCCAGACTGCGCGCTAGGGTGAGTGTGCAAGTGTGTATGTGTGTGTGTGTGCGTGCGCGCGCGTAGAGCGTGGTTTTACTATGGGCTGTGTGTGCCATGACTTTACTACTGCCTCTGCTGTGTGTGTGTGTGTGTGTGTGTGTGTTTAAGGAGGAGGGGTTAGAGGAGGAGGCTTAAGCTCGTCCCCTGCCGTCCTTCCCGGCCCCAGTAAACCTGTCCACCTCGGTATCATTTGCAAATTCGGAAAGCCTTCCCTGCCCGCCCCTCGTGTTCTGAAGATGAACGTCTGTCTGCTTCTTCAAGTTGAAAGCTATCAGATGTGCACACAATGTTGTGATGCCTGTGTTTTTCTTACGACCCTAATGATTGGTGTTTAGCAAATCCACTTAATGTAGAGGGGTGCTGTGGAAAGGGCTTTGGATTCGGAATCAGTCAGATGGCTGACTCGGCGGGGTCACCGTGTGATCTTACACAAATCATGTAACTTCTCCTGGCCTCAGTTTCCTCATCTGTAAAATGAAGGTGAGGGATCAGATCACCTTTCAAAGGCCACTTTGATCTTAACTCCGCAAACCCCTGTTTTCTCTGCTAGAGAAAGTGAAAAATAACAACTGTCACAGTTGTACTCATAAGGTTCCTTTTCTGCATTTTCTTCTCACTGCTTAATTTGGAGTAATTTTTGTCTCTGAGGTTTTCAGATTTATCTCATGCAAAAACCTGCTTCTTCTCATTCAGTCTTGGATGCTGTGACATGTTTTTCTTGATAAACTTACCCTTGGTAGAAAGTTGTGGAATGAAAAACTACTTAAAGTTCCTATTGAAAAAGTTGTCAGTGTTTTCTACAGCATAGTAGTAGTTATTGGTGGTTTTTATATTTCAAAGACCACAGTGCAATAAGAGAAAATGTAAATGAACGTTACTGATGTGGAAGTAACAAATACTGAAACTTGAAAGGAAACGATTAACACTTCAATTTGGGATGCCATTTGGTAGAACAAATGCAAGATTGGGAACAGATTTTAAGTGCTCTGTTTTGTTGACCCTGTAGAGAATAGTTTAAGTCTTCTATACCTTTTTGGGGTGGAGCATATTGCTGAGAAACTAGTGAGAATATCCTTTGAAAATTTATGCTTTTTTTGGGAAGTACGTTGTTTATTGTGCTTTCTAGAATTTGAGGTGTTTAGTAATTTGTGAAAATGTTGGTGAAATCTGTATTTAGTTCTGTCAAACAGGTAAGAATTGTTAATAGTCTATTTTAACGTTATATATTTATGTAAATCTAGACCCAGTTTATTTGAAAGGATAAACAAAAAAACAAAAGTGTTCTGAAGGTGTATTAAGTTGGTATTAATAAGGCAAAATATTTTGGAAATTGGTGTTCTTTAAGATTTTGCTTGAATGTTTTGAGAATAGTTAGGTGTTTTTTCATAAGAAAAAGTTCATTTTGAAAGGTACATTTCTACTATATAACCAGTTTACTAGTTTAAAAGGAATTTTGGAAAGAGGAGAGACCGGTGCATTAATCAAAATCCTCTGTAGTAGTTTTAAGGAGGACTGACCAGCTTAAGTGAGTGCTTTTATGACCTAGCTTGGAATCCTGAGTGTGGTAAACCTTTAATTAAGCTTCTTTTTTTTTTTTAGTTAAGCTTCTTAAATGTGCATTTGAATGGTATAAAATGAGACTAGAGCAAGCTGAGTTAGTCTTAGTGTGAGTTCAGCAATAAACTACTTGATTATTGTCACTTGGATCGTGCTGAAATTACATTTACATAAATAAATCAGAATTGTAGTGGCTTTTTAGACTACATAGTAGATTGGGCTTGGGAACAATCGTTATTTTGATCACTTTTTATCTTCATTGCTAAATACCTAGACTTTGTAATAGTAAGCAGTTTCAACCCAAAATATACTTAGATTTGCTTAGGCAATTGGAGTTAAACGGTTTTATTATAGAAGAAATAACTTGATCTTTGATTTCTTCCAGCTCTAAATTCTGTGATTCCTGGCAGCAAGCATTTAATAATAAATATTCTGTGTAATGCTTTCTTTTATCTCTTTATGCCAGAAAAAGATAGTGAATAAGGTAAAAAATTACTGTGTATTCATTCATTATTTCTGAAAATATAGTTTTCGTGATTGTAAGGGGAGAAAACTCTGCTGTATTTCATTGTTTTTATTTTTAAAAATTAGTCATATATTTGTTTTGACAGCAGATACTTCCAAACAATCCTCTTTGCAAAGTACATTTCATGGAAGTCATTTTATTTTATTTTTTTTAACGGCAAAGTAAGACTCATTTTGCAATTATGGTACAAACATTGAGGGTTATACTTGGCCAGAGTTTTGCTTTATCTTCACTTGAGTTTATTTACACTGTTGCAGTTCGTATGTATATTCTTTTATTTTTGTATCACTTTGTACAAGGCTTTACATATTTCCTCTAAGTTCTTCATATTCATTATGCCTTATGGCATATGTATACAACATATATATATACACACATACCATTATGTTCATCTTCCATAAATTGTTCTGTCATTCCACAGTCATTGGGTATTTTCTTGGTTTTTACCTTTTTTGTCTTTACAAATGATAGTTCTATGAACACTTTTGTGTGTATGATTTTTTTTTTTTTTTGTAACCTCCTTGGGGGCATAGTTTTGGTAGTATTGATGGATCTGATATTGAGATGGCTAGGGCAAAGGGTATGAACAATCAGAAACTTTTCTTTCTTAATTACAAATTATTTTCCAGAGCAGTTGAACGAGTCACAGTTCTACCTTTCCTGATTCAATGGGCAGAGATTCCCATATTTTAACGTCTTTGCTAGTTTGATGGATATGAAGGGGTACTTCATGGTTATTCTAATTTCTGTGATAGTTATTTTTTGGCTTGAAAATTGTAATATACCTTAACATACTTATTTCAAACCTTTATTAAGCTAGACATTTGTCAGCTATTTAATGCAAAGATTTTTCTCCCAAGCCTTATCTTCTTATTTTAGCATCAGTGCTTTTTTTGGGGTGTCCAAAAGCTTTAAAAGATTAATATAATTGTTATGTTTTGCATGATTGCACATGTGTAACTTGTATAAAATTCTTTCTTTCTCAATGAGGAGTGGAGGGCAGAAAGGGAGGGAGAGAATTTGGAACTCAAAAATTAAAAAAAAATTGTTAAAAATTGTTTTTACATGTAATTGGGGAAATAAAATATAAATTAGAAAAAATTAATAAAATTGCGATTGTAATATGATTTTCTTTTATTTTTTGTTTAATGACAAATCTTTATCCATAATTGTAAAAGATAGATCCTTCCATTCTGTAATTTTTCTTATGGCATGGCTTTTTAATTTTTAAATGCATATCCATTTGGAATTGTGGCATAAAATGTCTTTATTGTGTGTTTCCGTAAAACATATGTTTCAAGATAGTTATGATTTTAGAGGATGTTAAGATTTATTCCAAGAGTCACACACAGTCCTAGTATGTTAGAGATGGAAGTTGCTCACGAGGCATAGTGACCTGTACAAGATCATTGTAAATCATTAAATGAAATCCTTTTCCACTCTTTTGGCACTTTAGATTTAATATCAAAAGGAGCAGTTAAAAAATTTAGGGATTAGAATTTATTTACACGTGAAATCAACATATATTTTGATGTACATCATTTTGAGCTTTGAATTAATTGTGATTTGAAGTAACCAAAAGTGAGTTTAACAGATTTGCCTTTGGAATGAACTTGCGTGGTAAATTGAGCCATAACAGTTTCTAGGATTCAGTAGAGTATTGTTTTTGCTAAATATTTCTTCTTGCCTGTAAGCATGTAAGCTTGTTATAGACAGAGAGGAATCTGTTGGAAAATCCTTTGTTTTTTTTAGTAGGACCCATTTGTCCCAGTTTGTCAAATTACAGAAGTGTACTGTTTGAGCACATCCTAGTCTGTCTGATGGGCTAGTGTGGTTTTAGATCTTGTTAAAGGTTTTAGGGGCCTTTACCACAACTGAATCTCCATTTGTTCTCTAATTAGAGTGTTAATCATAACATACACACAAAAGGAGATTTCTGTTTCTCTGAGAAGCCCTTATGACTTCTTGCTGTTAATTTTGGTATCTTTCCTAAGTGGGCATTTAAGAGTTGGGAGGAGGAGAAAGCAAATCAAAGGACTAAATTTCTGAATTAAAATTGTTAGAATACAAACATTCAGCATATGCTAATATTTCTTTGAACTGTTTTTAATCATACAAAAATATATAAATATACACACAAAATAAATATACACACACTACCACTTTTTACCTTTGCTCTTTCGAGGTGATGTTTTACTAACTGAAGCTGCTTGAAATTAAAAGAGAATCAGTGTTTTCTTGCAAAAGTTTACTAGCTCCCTAAGTGAATTAAGCAGCTGCTTTGGTTTTAAATTTGCATTGTTTTCCTTTTTTAAAAATCTTAGACCTAGCTTTCAAGTACTTCAGACACTAAGTAGGAAACTTAAAATAATGTAATTCATCAATCCTTAGTAATACTGTGGATAACATGATTTATTCATTTCAAAGGGCAGCTTGCTTGATGAATTTTTGTTAGCTTAACCTTAGGGCTCCAATTTAGTTTGACATTTCATTATCTTTTTTTATTTTTTTTTTGCAGTTTGACATTTCATTATCTTTTTTTTTTTGCTCTGTACTCCATTTACATTTTATTTTATTTTTTCATTCTTTTTTTAAAATTTATTTTTAGTTTTTAACAATCACTTCCATAAGATT